TTTTATCATTTTTATTATCTAAAAATAAATTTATTATATTAAATATTTGTTGGAATGATTTCTTTATGTGGTAATTAATAACAAAAAGTACAGTTAACAGGGGTAAAAGAGACATTTACACATTAAAAGTTATTTCATAACTTATTTATTAAATACTACTTAGTAACTAATCTATAATTCAACAGATACACCAAACAGATTAATAATTCTAATTAAAACTATAATGTATAATTAGTTTTAGTGGTGTTTTTGCGAAGTTAGTAAACGTTATTTTTTTTTTACTTTTATGGCTTTTTTGTGTAAAAAAATTGACTTTTTTAAATTTTTTTATGTAAAAAATTAATAAGTAAAAAATTAGCTTTTTTAACTTGCTCCCAAACGCCCCTTAATAGTGGCGCCAAACACCTCCAATGTCTCTTACCCAATAAGCCCAGTATGGTTCTCTACAGTTATGTAAAGGCCCAACGAATGACAAACCCTTTTTATTTTATTTATTGTAAGGGTTATTTTGGTCTTTTGGCGATCTGGCTTTTGGAAACCAACCGTATATATATATGGTAAAGAGAATGGACAAGTAGCACCATAAAGCTTCTTCGAAACTCCGAAAGGCACTTTAGATAGAACCAAATGGCTGTGTCTGAATGAGAAAGGATAAAATATGAAAAAAATAGCATTTTAGTGGGGATAATTTTAAAATAATTTATATTATGGGTGTTTTTTTTTTTTTCCTTTTGGGTGTAAATCGTATATTCGGTAAAAACTAGCACCAATCACGGAAAAGTAATTGCATTACACACAAGGACTTGCATCTCATAAAAATGAAATTATTTCACTGTTAAACAAAAATATAATTTTTTTAAGGGTAAATTACAAATAAAATTCTAAAGTGTTAACGTTTTTGATAACTTACTTTTCAGTTTTTTTTATTTATAAAAATTTTTAAAACTCAAATAAAAACTTGTTTGATAAAATTTTTGATTATAAATCAGTGGTCTCAGTTTATAAATTTGGGCCAAAAATGAAAACACAAAAAATGTGTTTCGCATTTTGAGTTTTGAGTTTGTTTTTTTTTTTTATTTTTTTACCACCAACACTAGCCACCACCCGCCACCATTTTCTCCACCACGCGTCTTCGCTCCCGCCAATCCCCCGGGCTGCTCGCAC